TTGGCTTCCCATCGATGTTTAGGACTTACCCATCGCTGGTAAGCCAATTTTCCTTCAGTTTTGAAGCCAACGGTTACCTACCCATCGATGGGTAAATGCTTCCCATCGCTGGGTGGGAGGTTGACTTTCAAATAAGGAAAGAATCAGCCTTAAATGACTCCCAACGGTCATGCCTTCCCATCGATGGTTAAGCCTTCCCATCGCTGGGTTCCCATCGATGGGTAAAGCTTCCCATCGCTGGGTAAGGGCATTCTGCCTTGTGGTAATGTTGCACCAAGGCTTTAACATCGATGGGTAGAACTTCCCATCGCTGTTTGGCATGGTTCTGGAAATTGGTTTGGCTAAGGGACTACTTACCCATCGATGGGAAGATCTTCCCATCGCTGGGTGGCATGATTCTGGAATCCCAGGATCACTTACCCATGCATGGGTGAAATCTACCATCGCTGGGTAGATGGCTAGCCCAGAACCATGGCCTAGCTGACCGGCGCTGAAACCCGACCGAAAAATGCAAAGTTCTCCAAAGTAAAAACTAAGTATATAAAACACTTATTTAATGTATTTTGATGTCAAAACAAGCTTTGTAAGTTGAAAACCACGTCATTAAGGTAAAAACCACAGTTGACCAAGTCAACACCGTACACGGGTGGTTTTCACCAAAAGACAAAACTGAAAGGTGGTTTTCATGATTCTTTGATTGGAGAACCATTTAAATGCATTCAAAAACAATTCCCACACAAAAAGACTTGAAAACCACTTTATTTAAGTAAAAACCGCGGCTAGCCAAGTTTATGCCGTTTCGCGTGGTTTTTGTCAAACGACAAAAAACGAAAGGTGGTTTTTGAAGTGTTTTTGATGAAAAACTATTTAAATTTGCCCAGAAGTAAAAACCAGTCATAAAAAGTTGAAAACCACTTGGTTAGTTCAGACGCCAAAAACCAACGCCGAAAACCGAATGCCGAACGCCAGTTTCTGAAACCCGAACGCCGGATGGCTTGATTTTTGGTTTGGGCGAACACCAAGTGTTTTTAATGTTTTAAACATGTTTGAAAAACATTTTTATGATGTGTGAAATGCAATGAAAATATTTTTAGCCTAAAGAGCCAAAGTGTAAGGCTTGGGTCGGTCTTGATCACATTGTGACCGACTCAACGACGCTAAGACTGCTGTCTTCGTTCTTGGTCTTCTTTTGGCTCTTGTTCTCTTGCTTTCTTCTTATATTTATTTCTCGCATTGTATATTCAACAACTTGTCTCGTTCACGGCGGTTTGGCATTATCAAAACCTGTCATAAAAACGAACACGGCTTTAGTACGAAAACGTGATAAACCCGTGTTTCAACAATTTCCCCCTTTTTGATAATGGCAAACAAGACGGGGTTATGCATAGGAGGATTGATTTCAGACTTAAAAAATGTTCCCCCTTAATAAATGCAATTTTCTTTTCAAGAAAGTATATGTGTTGAATAAGAGTTAGGTTTAGAAAAAGTTCCCCCTCAATCTATGCATAACCTTTATATCTTCCCCCTTTTGACATTAACAAAAAGAATTAAAAGTAAACTTTTATTCATTAAAAGGGAAATGCGGAATACAACAAATAAAAATTCAATCATATTTAATAAGGAAAAGATAAAGAAGAGGTCGTGGTGTCGGTGTTGGCCTTCTTCTTTGAAGCCTCGGTTTTGGTCCTTGACTTTCCTCTGGCCATTGTTGAAGCGTTTAGAAAGTATGCAAGAGGAATGTGAATTGTATCTTAAAAATGACCAAGGATGGTTAATATTTATAGGAAAAGAGAATTTGGGCCCTTGGTGTTAAAAAATATGGCTGTTGGTCATTGAATGAGGTGCCTAACAGCTATGATTTTTGAACTGCAACAGGCTTCCCAGCGATGGTAAGGTTCTCCCATCGATGGGAAGACATGTACTTGAAATGGAGGAAAAAGTGAAGGCAGCCTTCCCAGCGATGGTAAGGTTCTCCCATCCATGGGAAGACAGCTACTGGAAATCCGTTAAAAAAATTTTTTAAAAAAAGTGTCAAACACCCAGCGATGGGAAGAAGTTCTCATCGATGGGAAGAGGGTTGCTGGTTAGAAAATACTTCCTTCCCAGCGATGGGATAAACCACTCATCGCTGGTTCCCCCTGAGTTCCTCACTTTGATATGTACCTGCAAAAAAGCAACACTTTGGTACCCAAACTATGTTTATGGGTCCTTGGGGTTAGTTAATACACACACCCAAAAATTCGTTTCCTTACACGCACACACACACCCGATTAGATGATCGTTTAGGAATTACCTTGGCCAACCCATCGTCTCGTGGTCAACGGGTTCCAATCTACCTGAACGGAGTGCCGATATCTCGGTGTGATTTGTGTTGGTTTTGGTAACGGAATGTGGACTTTCTTCTTTTCGTCAAAGTAGAAGAAATAATACGGTTTCTTTTGTGCATTATCCTGTGGAGATTGTTTATGATACGAATATCCTTTTCTACAGGATTTCTTTTCGTTAGCACCAAATATGTTGTGTGTTTCATTATAGGTGAGATGCCTATGTCTAGTAAAACACACGGGAGCTATACGTCCTACCCTATTGCAATAATGGCATACTACGTTTGGGTTGAACATATGCCTAGGTTGATAATAGCTAGGGGGTCTAACCATATTCATCCTATTTTGAGAAAAGGATGGTTTATGCACGTTTTCAAAAGAATCATTTCTAGGTGTCCTCATGTTATTTCTCCTATTTTGAGAAAAATTATTATTATGCATAAAATTATTTTTCTTAGGTTGTCTACCATGAACATTTTCATTCCTAGGTTTTAGT